ATAACGATTAATAATGATAAATAATTACAACGATTAATAGAAGTGATGAAATAATTATAGGGGTCGTCATTTGTTGGCAATGACGGCACGTATAATTATTGCATTGCAAATGCCGACGAAAACGCACCAATACCAATAGAAGTATTACCTAAAGAATATTACTATAAATGATGTTGAAACATCTAGTAATGAAAATTAATAGTATCTCTGGCCATTGGTTGTTTATTTTACTTTCAGTCGCTTCATGTAAAATGCTTGTATTTGAGAATGATAAAATGTGCAAGTTTTTCTTCGTCTATGCGATATTTATGTTTTAAGTGTAAATTCAAGTGATATGAAAGTAACGGGAAAAAGTCAAGTTATTTCTATTTCTATATGAACAAACCTTGGTTTAATTAAAGTAAATTAAACATGATTTCTTCTGACATATTTCTTTGTTGCGCCAAAGTGAATGTGAAACTTTACAAAACGAGTAGTGCTACAACATAGCATACTTCGTTGCATTGTTTCTAAATGCTCTGTTATATTATACTACTTCAGGAACCTGCAAAAGTATTTTTAACTAGCAACATTTTTTTTCGCACCGGGTCTGGAACTCATGTTTCTGAGTTGACTCGCCATGAGCCTTACCCCTTCGCTACGGAAACCCCGTGTTTTTCGAACACGGACTGACGATTAAAAATGCACTTGCATCACCTCAATACGCATTTTAGAAAATTCAGAGATATCAACGAAAAAGAGACCTACACCATTCTCTTAACCGACCCTTATTTAATACATGGAAAAAGAATAAAGAAAACTAGTGGTGCTCCAACAACACATATTTTCTCACATTATTTCTAAATTTGAAATTTTTTAGAAATTTAGTTTTCAACGAAAACGAGACTCACACAATTCTTTTAAACCGTCCTTCTATCCGTGGAAAAATATTTAAAGATAAAATGTGAATCGATTTTTGAAAACAATTTTTTATAATGCTTATATTTTGCATCAAATTTCCGAAAACTGACATTTTCGAGAAATTGAACATTAAATTATTTAAACATCCGTCTTTCAGGGACAGATTCTATAAAAGAAAACATATCTATCTTCAATATTAAAGTTATAGGAAGCCGCCAAAAAATGCACTATGTAATTTTCAAAATATCTTGAATTTCAACGAACATGAAAGCTGTCTCTTTATCTTGAAGCGCCTTTAGGCTATTGGGGAACAAATTTTGATACAAAATTGATACAATTTTTGAGAACATTTTGAAAATGTTTCTGAGGCTTTGTGTAAAGTTCTCTCAAAAATCAAAATATCTGTTTGAAAGTCCAAAACTCTGGATTTCATAGGGAAATGTGAATTTTGAGAAAATTGGTTGAACGGTTAAGGCGGTAGTGTTGACAACAATTAGGCAGATAGACTGTCGACTACAAACGGATTTGACCCCAGACGGACAGTTTTGCCGCCAATCGATTTTTCGCTATCAAGGACCCGCACAACGGATTCTGCCTACACCACATGTTATAGGATATTTTTTTTATATTTAACAACAGTATTTATACACTTTTTCGTTACCAGAATCCTGCAATCAGAGTTTTTCTTTCAAAATCACATAACTTTATCTTTATCTGAAAGTAAAAATATGACCAGTTTTTTGAGAAAACGTTCCCCCTCCTTTAAGACATATCCTTCTCAATATATTTGCCATGACTTTCTCATTAGAGCACCCACACGGTTCTGCCATTCGGTGTTGACGATACCACCGCGACGGCGCTCCTTCTGCAGTCCGAAACACACCAGTGCGTTGCGGTTTATGACGGAGCGAGGAATTCCGTGGGCCCTGAATATTTTTCGAGATCCAGGTTCGCCCTGTTCCTGAAGATTTGTGCGCGTAGTCACTTGGGGTGACCTGACACCATGAATGATGGCTTTGAACCATGCGCCACTTTGATAAATGTTTGTTAAATAATATGTTGGGGTTTTCTATCAGACCAATCGACAGAAGCGACTAATGGTTAAAGCAACATACGAACGTCATCATTTAATTTAACAAACAGTTAGGAAAGTGTTGCATGGTGCAAAGCCACTGACTGCAAGGCGGTCTTCTGGGGTAGAACGTTGCATCCCCTACGCGCAAAAGCCGCCCTCGCCCGAAGGAAGAGGAGTAACGGAAGGGCAGGGAGGTCAAACTGCCGCTGAGGTGAAAAGACGAGCCGTAGTACCCCAGGCGGACAAAACCGGGCGTTTGTGAGCGCGTTCAACATACGGATAATCGCAAGACGGTCAAGCACACATGGGAAAAATGTATCGCATCTACAGAATTTATGGGCTTCTTTAAGGATAACAGGTAGAAGTAGAAACAAAAGTACTTTGTCGTATTTTTTTGTTTTCTCTCTTTAATGTTTCTGTCGTTTTTATCACGCAGGCGTTTAGCAGAAATTGGTTACCTTTACACTGTTACGCTGTTATAATGATTTTTAATATGAATATTATAAATGTCATTTTCCGTACATACACAAAATCGTTCATAAAATGGAATTTTATGGCTACATCCTCGCGTCATCTCCTTTTCTGCATGAATTATGATGTTGCAAATTTGTTAGTGACCCGCGTTTGCATGAATAAAGTAAAACCTCACAGTAGTCGTATTAAAAATGAGAATATTGTGACAAGAGGAATAAATTAAACAACATAGTATCAAGTTTTGAACCAAACGTAAGCATTACTCATCTCATTTCGTAGCTCAAATCTATTACTCATCTTTCGCCATTATTTACCGCTGGCTCTTCAAAATTTCTACTTACTTTAAATCACTATTCTTCTCAGAGTTTCAAGTAAGCATATAGTAGCATGAACGATGAAGCAAGTAAGTATTTTGTTTATTTACATCGTCAAGAAGGGTCTCCAAACTATTCTTTCTCTTCTTTAATCGTCTCCTCTTTTATGATTCGTAGATTGTTTGATTCGAAAGGTGTCTGTCCATCTTATTCTACTTCTACAATGCCACTTTGGCCTATCAGCACGTATTCAAGAATTATTTTGTAAGCTACACGTTCTATCCATTCGTTTATGTATTATTTTTATGTATTATTTTCTTCTTACTTTTTGATAATTTCACAATTATTGAAAAGTTTTAACTGAAGTCCTTTTTCTTCATTTGGGACGATGTGGACCTTCTTCAAAATTGTTGAAGACCAAATCTGATATCTCCTTCTTTAATGGAGAATTCTGGCAGAAGAGTGATTCAAAGGTCAACACATGTTTCTTTACCTATACATGTCTTCTATTGCTGTTTTTACTTTTACATCGATTTACATTTTAAAAGATCAATATCCTAATAATTATTCGAATATCAAAATTATACGAATTATACGAATAGTATTGACCTTAACATTGTGTTAGTATGAGGCACGAAAAACATTAAATATTTCACGTCATATTATATCTTTCACGTATCGTTTCTACTATGATAAGAAAATTGTTATTTGTGTAATGAATCCGATGTGTCACAAATTTGTTTTTATTTCCAACCGCTATGCTATTTCAGGAATGAAGATACTGCTTCACAAATTTCACGTCAATATCCTGTACGCAAAGGTCATCTGAAATTAGTGCCACGAAATTGAAGCTATTAAATGGCTGCGTCATTTCCTCGTTTTGTTGATGTTATAGCCGTTAATACATGTGTTTAATTGTTAATGAGGGACAGCGGGGAAAATGCAAAAATGTAAACGTCTTTAAAAGTTTCAATTTGACTATTGATGAACTCTGAACAGAGTGCACTCCAGCATGTATCGTATCAGAGAAACCACAATTGTGAGTAAAAAAAACTAACACGATTAAGAAAGAGGTATTTCGGTCCCAAACCGGAGTGGCGGCCAACTAGATGATAATTCGCAAGAGACGTCAGTGGCTGTGTAAAGACAAGGGTAAAAGCACGGTTCGAGCACCTTGTCGAGGACAAGGGAACAAAGGCGCAGACGAAGGGAAACAGAGAAGAAGGATGGCGAAAACGGAGCTAAACACAAGAGAAAAGGTGAGGTGAACGTGAGGGATGGAGCAAGAAAACGAAGGTGAATGCGGAAATCAGGAGAAAAGGCTGTAAGCCAGAGAAAGTGCGGTTGCCAGGGGAAAGGTGAGGAGGAGTCGAGTACTTGTGCAAATGCAAGGGCAGTGCCAACGCGGAGGGGAAGAGTGGAGGGCGAGGGCCAAGAGGGAGATGAGAACAGGAGGAAGGAAAGGCTAACGAAGACAAATGTAAGAAAAAGATGAGAGTGAAACCACAGCGATGGCAAGGTCGCAAAGTAGGAATGCAAAGGTATGGGCCCAACGGCCGGGAGAGGCACGCGGGACGGCAAGGGCCACAAAGAGATCTGAAGCAAGAACGAGGAGAGCGGGATGACAAGTAGACATGTGAGTGCGAAGGTCGTAGAAAGGGACAAGTACGAATACAAGGGCAAGGGCAAGAGATGTACGGGGGGGCATAAAGGGCCGGGGTTAAGACGAGATCGAAAAGAGAACCGAGAAGAAAAGCGAGAGCCAGGGCAATGGTAAACAAGGGAGGCAGGGGAAGGTGCGCCGGTCCACTGCGCCGCCGGCATCGATCGCGTCGTCAGGGCAACGATTTTTCGTGCGCGCGCGGCGGGCCAGGGCGCAGGCGCCGCC